GAAAACGATACCGGTAACAAATAACATAGCATAAAATTTATTGTATTATGATTTGTTACTGATTGTTAGTTTAAATATTATGATATAAGACAGTGAGTTTTTGCGGGATGTTTCTTAAACTTGTTGAATTCAGTAATTTTTATGCATACACTCGACATATATTCTAATTTTGATAATTATAATACTGGAATATAAATAAATATATAAGATTACTAATATTGTTATATATCTAACGCATCGTCATTTTGATATCTACTAAAACAGTTAAACTGATTTAAAGTCATTTGATAGGCCTACTCTTTAAAATGCACAACAATATAACCATATCCATGAGTAGGCCCATTGGAATAGCCTTTAAGCTTCGACTCGACCAGATCAATATTGCATGTGGTAAACAATGTGTCGATGGTCATTACCGTCTATTCCGTCTATTCCGTATGTGTGTATGCTGATATTATCCGATTAACATAATAATATTCTGTAACAATCGATTGTTGTGAACATGAATACTTTTAACTGGGTCAACGAATACATCGAGAACATTAGAATAGATTCCCACCGAATAATATAAACGAGCGGTACTGGGTAAAGACAACTTGATTTCTTGCTTCGAACACGGTATCCATTCGTAGAAGTTTTATGAAGATAAGCCTATATAATAGTGACGTTATAGTATCCGGACCAGGATATACCTCTGACTTTAAATTGATAAGGATAGTAAAATGTTAAATACAGACACTATAGGCTTATTCGACTAGTTCATTTAGTTGAGTACGAATTTTCGTTGAGTATTATTTTCATTCGATTGGTTCGTAAAATAGGCTTCATTGACAACGAGATATAACGTAACCAGAATGCGTTATCAGCGTTAAGTTAGGCACGTGACCAAAAAAAATATGGCCGATTGGTCAGTTTAGCAACAACATTTGCGTTAATATAATTTAGGTTAAATTTCAGAAAATAGAAATTATAATATTTACCCACATTGAAGGCAAAAAATAATTGTAGGCTAACAGAATTCAAAAACTGGATGAAAACATTTTTTTTTTCACGAAAAACCCATAGGCCCTACTGCCACAATCCGAAGCAGCCTTGATTACGCAGCGTGTATCGCGGTAACTATGCAGCCATTTTGTTTTGTCAAGTATTTACCAGTTTTCTATTCGACTGGTTGTCTTCGTTAAGTAGGATTTTACTACTGCGCAGGTGAGCGTGGTTTAACAAAGAACGACCAGTCGAATACGGCCAATGTATACATAGAGACCAACCTTAAAAGTTAAAAAATTTAAAAATAAGTCTTATGATCGTAGCCTATGTGTAAGTAATATGTTAAAATTATGAATAAAAATATAAAAGAATAAAGGAAGAAGGAAGAATATATGAAAGAAACTGGAGCGTCTGGAATTTTTTCCGAATATAAACAATAAATAATCAATATGTCATTATAGTATGACGTTTTTTTAACAAATTTGACACTATACATCAAAGGTCATGGTGTCAAGCCTAAACGTTTCGTAATTCGACATCGATTCAAATTATATTTTCAGCTAACGAATAACGCAATATGAATTTGACAGCAACTAACCTTAACTCAACATTTTCATTGCTTA